GTGACATATCCCCCCTTAATACTTCACAACACCACAAATTAAGCTCAATATCATATTTAAGCTTAATAACAAAAAAAAATGCCTCAACTTAATTCCACCAAATTAAATCCGATTATTTATCATGCCACTAAATAAAATAATTTCGACTTCGACGGTAAAAATTCAAATTAATATAAAATATTTAAAAAATATTTAATTAAATAAATAATTAAATATCGGGGCGTTACAGTTATGCCTGCGAAAAACACTAAAAACAGAATTGAATCGGCATGATGTAACCGATTACGGAAAAATCCGTAATCGGTTACAGTCATGATAAAAAACAGTTCCTGCTTTCCAGAAGTACTTATTTTTTAAGTTGTGACCTCCAATTAGCTTCCAGAAGCTTATAACATGCATTTGAATTATTATAAACTTTCAATAATATCTTTGTTCGAATTTTAAAATTCGACAGGACATATATTATAAGAGAGCTCGAGTTCACCTAAAATGCATCCAAAATCCTAAACTCTAAAACCTATTTGTGCATTGTATGCATCCAAATTTGAAATCTAGACTGTACGCGATGGGCATTTTCATAAATTTAAGCGTAATACTAGAGATGTCAACTTGCACCCATTAGTGGGGATTTCCACGAGGTTTCCCCATTTGGGGCCCCAGATATGGGGAATTTTCCCCCCGCGGGAACGGGGGTGGGGGATAAAGTTCCTCCGAAGGCACTTTGGGGATGGGATGGCGAACATATCCCCCGCCCTATGGAGTCTCCACCCCGCACTAGAATACCATAATATCATTAATTAATATATAATTTAACATTTCTATGTAGGTGTATTTGTCATTTCAAATAACTTATTTTATAAACAAATATAAAAACACATATATAATGTTAGTAAAAGAGAGAGATCTAAATGATTATTTTAATTTTTTTAAGTTTGAAAATTTGGTGTTCATGAATCTCGAGATTAAATATTGTTAAAATAATATATTTATCATAGATGATTAGTTTATTAATTTCTTGTGGTTAGCTTTTCAATTTTTTCTATTAATTTAATTAAAAATGATAAATAAAAACTTATGTTTGTAGATCTCCGCATAAATCATGGAGATCTGTGGGGACGGGTATATGAGACAGAATCCCCCCGTGAAGGGGATCCGAGACGGGGATGGGGAGTAAATTTGAGGGTGGGGATTGAGATGGAAATGTATCCCCCCCCCTGCTCCGGCCCATTGAGATCCCTAAGTAATACTAAGAATATAATGAGCAATGTCCCATAAATATATCCAATCTAGCCTTAATGTGGTACTTACTCTCTTGATTATTTACCCAAGTGTAAGGATTGTCAGCCAAATTGCAGTCAAAGAGAGCGTGGTTGAAGATAGTAGTGATATGGAGATCAAATAGGGTTTCCACCAACTTTTTCTTTTTGAGTATAAATGATACTAAAGTCACCCTCAGTATCTAATCCCCCACCTGATTAGAATTATTTAGGGTCTGCAAGAGATCACAAGGTTTATTTTTGCATTTTGATTTTGTCCATAGTAACAATTTGAGATGATTGTGTTTCTCCCCTACAAACAATTTGGCATTTCTTCTTCTTTTGTTGAGTATTGTGTTCAAGTTGTTAGGATCAGGTTGAGCTTTCTGCTTATTAGAACTAGTAATTGGCACTAGATGTCCTTTCTCACTATTAGTTTGTTCATTCTTAAGATAGGCCATGTCATGAAGTTTTTATAGTATTTCTTTAGGGATGGGGTTGAATTGTTTGTAACTAGGAGATTTTGAAGGGTTATTTTTTTATTGTTGTATTTCCTTTCGGCGGGGTCTATCATTCTTTTACCATGTTGTGTTGATCTGATGCATGGCTCAAAGGGATTTATAATGTTAGAATCGTTCGACTTTTTGTTAGGTTGGTTCCAAACATTTTCAATGTGGCATATAACCCCACAGTTAATTGATTGAAGCAAGACATAGGAAATTTTACTGTGAATTTCTTATCACACCCTATGCCTATGAAAATAACTTTACGAAAAATTAACTTATCCTCTGCGTTATCGAAAGTGTATCTCCGTAACGCATATTTTTTTGTTAAACTTCGCTTATTTCTGGAGATGCATCTACAAGAGGGAACCATAAATTCAATCTCGATTAATTAGTGCAAGAAATTGAAAATTCTGCCACCTTCGTATGTCAGTTATTACCAGAAGTGTATTTCCAGAAAAATCAAAAGTCAAATTTCTTAAAACAGCAACTAGCATGAACCAGAATGATCACCTTCATTTCCAAAAGTTTCCATAAACCCTCTCCAAAAATCCTTCCATTCTCAATCAAGTTTTTTACTCCAAATCTTTATTCTTGTGGTTTATCATATCAAAAGGAGCTAAAGGAATTGGAATTTAAGGTAAAATTTATTCATTTCAACTCACAATTCATCATATTAATATGGTTTTTCATGGAAAAAAAGGTCATGCTAATATCAGAAATGTACTTCTAGGTACCCAATGAACTGGACCGAATATACATTTCTAGTTTTTGTTTGTACTTATTTTCCAGCAATTTATTCCTTGCTATAAATGTTTCTTAGTTAAACATTTTTTACACTAGTTATGGTGCATCCCGATGCTATTCTCAAACCTATTATGTTCCAAATTGTTTCACCTCTCTTAGTTAAGGGGGTAGATATTCTGAACCATTTTGAAAATAAACAAGAGTGTAATTCCGTGATGACATGTTGCAGTGGATTCGTACAGAGGCCGTCAAACTAGGATTTGGTGTTGTGATCAGAAGGTCTGATAATGGTTTGAATAGAATATGTGCATTTGTGACATTGACATACGAAAAAAGTGGGAAATATAAACGTCCTCTCCTGAATTTGAAATGGGATGATATGGGTTCAAGAAAATGTGAATGTCCATTTAAGTTGTGTGGTTATCGGTTGGCAAATATTAAATGGAGATTTAATGTGATATGTGGTTTATATAATCATGATTTATGTGCAAACTTAGTCGGTCATCCAATTGTATGTCGACTCTTGTCGGAAGAGAATGAATGTGTTTCTGACATGACATTAAATTTGGTACCTCTCAAAAACATACTTGCAACCTTGAAACGCAAAAGACTCGAGAATATCTCAAATATCAAGCAAGTGTACAATAGACGTTATCAATCCAAATTAGCGTTTAACGGGGATCGAACTGAAATGCAATACCTCTTGAAACTTCTAGATGATAACAATTATATTTCTAGGCACCTGAGATATGAGGATGGAGTAACAGTAAGAGATATATATTGGACTCATCGTGATTCGATTAAATTGTTCAATACATTTCACATTGTGCTTATAATTGATTCAACGTATAAGACCAATAAATATAGGCTTTCATTGTTGGAAATTGTTGGTGTTATGTCAACTGGGAATATGTATTCAGTTGGTTTTTCATTTCTAGAGTGCAAAAAAAAAGGACAATTTCCCATGGACTTTAGGCACCTAAGATGTGAGGATGGAGTAACAGTAATAGATATATATTGGACTCATCATGATTTTATTAAATTTTTCAATACGTTTCACATTGTGCTTATAATTGATTCAACGTATAAGACCAACAAATGCAGGCTTTCATTGTTGGTGTTACATTGACTGAGAAGAGGTATTCAGTTGGTTTTTCATTTCTAGAGTGCAAAAAAAAGGACAATTTTGCATGGGCTTTAGAGGTTTGTCGATCAACGTTGGAGGAACAAGAAGATATGCCGAAAGTCATTGTTATCGACCGAGATACCGCATTAATGAATTAGGTTGCAACTGTATTTTCCCCTTCTTATGCATTACTTTGTAAGTATCACATTACTAAGAATGTGAGAAGTCGTGTTAAACCCGCGGTAGGGACAAAACATATAGCAGGTGAAGATGGAAAGCTGGTCAAGGCGAGCGTTATTGTGGAGAAAATTATGGATGCGTAGAATGTTATAATAAATGCATCTACAAAAGAGCTATATGTTGATGCTATTATATATTTCACGAAGGTGTGCGTGAAATATCCTGATTTACTGAAATATGTTGAAAGCATAATTTAGACCAGGTAAAGGAGAAGATTGTTTGTGCTTGGACCGATCAAGTTATGCACCTTGGAAATACAACAACAAACCGAGTTGAGTCTGCTCATGCTTGTTTGAAGAGTTAGTTGGGAAATAGCAAGGGTGATTTGTGTGTGCAGATTGGAAATCTGTGAACCAAATGATATTAAATCGGCATAATGAGATACAAACATCATTTGGTCGTAGTATCACAGTGTTAGAACACAAGTTCAAAAACAACTCTCTATGTTCTCAGTTGGTCAGCAACATATCTCGATCAGCTCTTAATTATATTTTGACTCATACGTAGACTTCGTTGAAAATAAAGTCTTTGGTTGAAATTTCATTCCAAGGTTGCACCACCAGCCAAACATTTCGAAAAATTCATGGGTTTACCTTTAAATGTACATGTAATTTCCTCTCTTTACTAACAATGATCTTCAATTTCCCCAATACGTAAATCCAGATTATTGCACCAAATATTAGATAGTCCCATGGTAACAGATCCTCTGTGAATGAAAATATTGGGAGATTCTTTGTTCAGATATTAGAAGAATACTAGCAGTCAAAGATGTTCCAAAATTCCATTGTCCTAGTTCTATGTTAAGTGTTTTATTTGAAATCCAATAAATAAAAATATCAGTAAATAATGTTTATAACTATGCAGCTTGTAACAAACTTCACAAAATAATAGTTTCACCTTGATTAAGCATAATGCTGAATGTTATAGTAATATGATCAAATATTTACCTAATCTCAAACTCCAAAAACAAAGGGTAAATTGGAAAATAGAACAAGTACATTATTTCATTGACTAAACTATCATATATCAACAAGCTTGTGTTTTTCATTACACAACAAAAAGATGTCTGAAATGAGACATACACTTGAAAATCTATTTAATCCCTAAAAATGCATACATGGAAAAATACTAATCTCCATTGCTTACAATCTCATCGTCAGTTTTCACCCTCCGGTAAAACAGAACATATGCGGCAGCAGTATTAACCTCGTCTTCACTTATGAGCGATATGTGGCTATCATCAAAATTGTACCACCTGTTTTCGTCTAAAAGCTGCATATTCCATATTACAAATATACACCAGTTAGCAGTGTTGCTAAAATGAAGACCGAAAAGTCGAATAAACTTTCAAAGAATTATTAGTTTATTTATCATTTTACCTTAATATGTGCAGTATAATGTCCGCTACCCATACTACCGTAATGATTGGTAAGGGCGTAGAGTTCATACACTTGACGCCGCGAGTTGTCTTTGTTGGCTATGTAATTTGTTAAATCAAAATCATGAATAGGAAAGTTAACGAAAGTCTCGAGTTTATGCTTCATTGACCTGCTGTATGAGAACCTCTTTAAATGAATTACCAAAACCTCGGGGAGTCTCCATAAATCAAGCTTTTTGCTTGCCTGTCGTCTCTCTTTGCATTTAGGACAGTACCTACATCAAATTTTAAACATGGAATCTTAGCAATATATATATATATATATATATATATATATATATATATATATATATATATATATATATATATATATATATATATATATATATATATATATATATATATATATATATATATATATATGTAATTGGCAGAAGATTCAATATTTCTGCAGTAGGTGGTCATTTTGAGCCTACTTTGGAAGATCTTGAGATGTTATACGTAACAGTGCTATTGTGATTAAGCTCTATTTTGCAATGTTTTGTTGTTAATGGGTTTATTTAGAGGATCTTGAAAATAACTAAAGACTTACCATGCCATAGTTAAAGTACAGCACCTAGATCAAAACTGATCAAAATAAAGTAAATTTAACAGCCCTACATCTGACTATGTAAACGACGATGTAACCGAATGTAGCATATTTAGTGTTTTGGATGAACACTGTTTGCTATTTATTACTCTCAATTTATTAGAAACAAATCTTTAAACCTGAGGCGTGATACTAGTCACAAGTTCTGTGCGATTCTTATTGTGCAAACTTATTACTACATTTGTCCCTAAATATAGCACACAGTTGATTAAATCACGTGAATTAACAAAAATTGGTAGTAGTAGTAGTATTAAATTTGTAAAAAATTAATATTGTTTTTACAAGTTTGTCTTTCGAGAGAGAAAATAAGTTTAGGGTATTAGTATAGTATTCTTTGTTTGCAGAAATATAGGTAATTGATCCATGTCCCATAGATTCGACAAAGTTTTATGTTAGCTGTCAACTGTCTAACACAATCCTCTCCTTTTATCCGGGCTTGGGACCGTCTAAGCATAGCAATTCTAACATAGGCAGAGATGAGGATTATGCGTTGGATGTGTGGTAAGATTAGACGAGGTAAGATTAGAAATAACAATATTAAAGAGAGGGTTGGGATAGCACTTATAGTAGAAAAGATGGTGGAAAATAGATTTAGGTGGTTTGAGCATGTAGAAAGAAGACTTGTAGATTCTTTTGTTAGGAGAGTATATTAGATGGAGAGGAGTCAAACAACTAGAGGTAGAAGAAGGCTTAGAAAAACTATAAGAGAAATTATTAAGAAAGATCTTGAGATTAACGAATTGGATAGTAACATGGTTTAGGATGTAACGTTATGGCGGAATTTGATCCATGTAGTCGACCCCCACTTAGTGGGATAAGGCTTAGTTGTTGATGTTGGTATGTTAGTAATGAAATAATTAATGGAGTTGAAAATTCAAAGAGCATCTTATAAAAAAAGGGACAAGAAAATCTCTCAAGAGATTCTTATATTTAGGGATAGAGGCAGTATTGTCGATGACAGGTGGCGATCCATGGCGGAGAGCAAAAATCCCGCCATGCCGGCCTCTTTGTGGCGCCGTCCTAGCGAATAATGGCAGAAAAACCCGCAATATTGACCGATATTTACTATTGTAGCAAGCCCAAAAACAGCCATTGATATCCGCTATGGCACCTTCATGGGCAATATTCGATAACACTGTACAGAGGTAGTGATTAAGGAGATACAATAAAAAAAATTTATCATAATTTAAACAGGTCAAAAAGAGATCAAGCAAACAATTATTAATGCATATTCCATTTTAATGTTTGCTAAGCATGAGAGATAGACAGTATATTAGTAGAGCATATATGGGAGAGATGAGAGAGGAAAAACTAACCACATATCTTCAGGCACCAAAGGTTCTTCACGCAGAAAAGCTTCTAAACAAGTGTACAACGAGAGAGGTTCAGAACGGGCTTTTTTGGTTACAGGCCCATATTTCAAAACTTCAGGCAAAGTTTCAAGTGGATGAGTATCATACTTCTCCAAAAGCTTCTGAGACCAATCAATATAAACTAGAACTCTTGCTGATGATGGTGATAGTTTAACTACTTTCTCCCCTCCCATTGAAAGATCAATGCAAGCATTGTTATCATCTACCAATAGTAGAGGTAACGTTGGTAGGTGTGTTGCTTTTGAAACAGTATCATCCTTATTTGTTGAATTCGACACGGCTTTGGTTTCAGCTTTCAAAAGAAGTGGAGAGAGTATACCATTCACTATTACTTGTATGTCACTTCTTGTGATTGTATCATCGCACGAGATCAACGAAACAATAGGTGTTCCATATGGTTTCCATCCTGAAACGGTATGTGAGTCACTACTCTGCTCTCTGTGGCGATGTATCAACTGGAGGTACTTTGTGTTTTTGTCCATCTTTGGAATCTTGTAAGCGGCAAGACGATCATCATCTTTAATTGAGGACAACAATTGAAGGGGATCTTCAAAAAATCTATGGATCAAATGGTTTCGTATCTGCAAATAACAAATCAATATAAAACACACATCCAATTAGAATAAAGTATTCAATGCAATTTCAATACATACATTTAACTTTATTCTAGTATGGTACACACCTCAACAAGCACTATCCTCTCGTTATGTTTCAATGAGCATGCATTGCTAAGCCCTTGTATAAGATCTCTGCATCGTCCCTGTTTGGGCACAGTTACTGTACACGGAGATGGTAGGGTAGAACCATCGCAACTAAAAACTGTCACTGTCATGGTCCTATTGGTGGCGGACTGGAGAGGCAGGGAAAGGTACATGAAAGGATCAAATGTGACCGAGACTTTGTTGCAAACTGGACAAACTAAAGTCGACTTGTATTGTCCCTATAAATGAATTGTCAGAAATAGATATGAGCTTCTGTCTTTCATTGTGAACATATAAAATGAAAACAGACATCACAATTTCTAACGATAATCAAGAATCCAAAGTTTCAACCATGACCAAATTGCAGTATCGAGCATTTACTCAAAGGGTTCATGGAATATAAGATTGATTGGCAAAAGAAAGCAACACATTATAGAGAACCTAGATCAATAATGGAGAGAGTAATGTCGTCTGAAAATATATTCACTTGACTCACCTGACATACATCAACAATTATGGAATCATTACGGGCAATATGATTTGCCCAATACTCATCAGCCACTTCTTCATCCGGTCGGCCATCGGCATCTCGAGACTTTATATATGGTTTGTGCTTAACACGATTTAAGTCTTCATGGAGACCATCAAGTAAAAATGCTAAGAGTTCCTGATAAAATAATAAAACAAATGCTACCACAGACTGCATCATGGAAGTTGAAGAGGGTAAATAATTTCGTGTAAGCAAACCTGAGAATCATGTTGGTTGTGCCCACTGAACTGAGGTGCAAAGCGAGCAAGCTTTGCTTTAAAAGGCCGAGGAGCAATCGGTGTTCGCCCAGGTGCCCATAGTTTTCGAAGCAACTCACCAAATGCTAAGGCTAGTTCACCCTACACATCGAAAATTTCAAGTAAGCGCAACTTTTTTCGAGTAAGTACATACCATATTTCCATCATAAATGCTACCACAACTTTTTTCACTAGGGAATCATTCTTAATCCTATCTTTTATTGTCTTTACTCATTTATTGCACTATTCTTATCTCTATAACATAGGGCTAATAGTTTTGTAGTAAACACTTCCCAGCTTGAGTGGTAACTGATAACTGAGCTGGGATCTCTCCCTGCCTATGTAGTTCTTCGTTTAAAAACAAAGTACTTCTCAGAATTTGGGTTGGGTCTAACTCATCCTTACAAACTGGCTTGTAAGGTGAGGATTACCCCCACTTATAAACAAAACACAAGTAATATTTCTAAGCAATGTGGGACTAAATTCACCCCTCAAACAACACAATGAAGGTGTTGGGAGCTGCAACGAAGGCAAGCCCAAGTGCCACAATTAAGGCGACTAGGGACAAACCGCAATTCAGGCCGAAATTCCAACACAACCCTCACGCTTAGCCTCAATGAGCCCGAAGTGTGGACGATGCGGAAAGCCCAACAATGGATCTAGGATGCCCGAAGCGTGGATGATGCGGAAAGCTCAACAATGGATCTAGGATAGGCTCTGATACCATCTTAGAATTTGAATTGGGCCTAACTCATCCCTACAAAATCAGCTTGTAAGGTGAGGATTGCCTTCACTTATATAAACACAACACAAACCATATCTCTTAGCAATGTGGGACCAATTCCACCCCTTTAAACCCAACACAATTAAGGTGTTGGAGGCTGCAATTAATGCAAGCTAAATGCCACAATTAAGGCGATTAGGGGAGGGCCGCAATGAAGGCGGAAATTTCAACACATCCCCTCACGCTTGGGCCTCAATGAGCCTAAAGCATGGATGATGCAGGAAGTCCAACAAATGATTTAGGATAGGCTTTGATGCCATCTCAGAATTTGAGTTGGGCCTAACTCATCTCTATAAAACCAGCTTGTAAGGTGAAGATTTCCCCCATTTATAAACACAACACAGGTGACAGGCCATATCTCTAAGCAATGTGGGACTAAATCCACCCCTCAAATCCAACACAATGAAGGTGTTGGGGATTGCAATGAAGGCAAGCCAAATGTTGTAATTAAAGCGACTAGGGGCGGACCGCAATTAAGGAAGAAATTCCAACAGTACTTGATCGCAATTTTAATAGTTATATGAAAGTCTATTGTCCCTCCTTTTTCACCCTAGCCATGACAAATTATACACAGGGTCGACTGAAAAACATAGCCCAACTAATCAAAGTCACTGAAGGATTGGTACAATAATGCACAAAAAAGTAAAATCTAATTTGCTCATATTCAAGCAACATATAGTGATCTTCTTAGGGCCAAGCTACCCTCATAGCCAAGTAAAATCTATAAGACAGAGTGATCTTCTTAGAGCCAAGCTACCCTCATAGCTGCAAATGCTACCAAGCTAAAGAAGACAAAAAAATTCCTATACAAATACTACCACAAACTACTAAAATATTCCATTACTTAAAAATAAACATAGCCCAAGATATTAACTAAGAGTAACGGAACAGAAGAATGAACACAAGAACATTTCCTTGCCATTTAAATGGCAGGATAAATATATTAAAAAGCAACTTTCATGACCATCTGTTAAACTTTAGGCTTAATTGTAAAATCGGACATGGAAGTTTTTTTTAAAAAAAGTATATTTTTGTCCACTGATATCATTTTGAATAATCAGGAAGACCTTGTTCAAAGTTCAAACTGAAATCAATTGGAAGGATCAAAAGTGAACTCAAACTCAAACCTTGGTCAAAATAAAAGCATCATTAAACCTACTGCTTAAGCAGTTGGGATACTTGGTTCATGCGATAACACCATAGTTTATATGACCAAGTCGTCTAGAATTTGATCCTTTCCGACTCCATTTTTCTAAATAATAAGAAACAATTAAGCACTGGTGAGTGGGCTGTGAGCCTATAAATCATCAATAGTTCAAATCCAAAAGATCTCTGGCGTGAGGAGACATTTCAGGCATAAAAGCATCCATCTTCCTTCACTCTAAAGCCTAAGCTTTTGCAATAGTTGTTTCATCTTTCATGATATGCCTAATAATTATCTATCATGTTTTAATGAAGACTATAAATAATCTTTTATCTCTACTCCAAGTTCTTACCATATAGTTTAGCCCACATAAAGAATATCGAAAGAAAAGGAAACAAGTTAATGCTTTTAAAATGATACTTACAACCATGCCAAGTGGATTTTGCCAATTTATCTCTTGATGATAGTCCTCCCTAAAGTACCTAGCAAATTCTGGTGTATGAACAAGGCATTGTATTGCACTATTCATGAAACAAGTATTGCCAAGATTTAGCAACCCAGTGAGACCACCAAATGACCCTCTTGTGGTGACACCTAGAGTCCCATAAGGGTTTTCTGAATCTCTGTCCGGAGAATTTAGTTTCTGAGATGAAGAATGTTCAATATTGTTGCCTCTAGATGCACCCTTGCTAGTAGACGGGGCACCAGCAGCGGATAAGCTTGACTTTGAAGGCTCCACAAGAACAGAATTTGCTTCCCTCTGTGCTGATCCATTTTCTTGAGCAGAGATTGTGCTATTTGTATTGTTTACGACCTCAATAAGAATCTGTATGAATGTTGTCATTAATCAAAAGAAAAACAAGGGTATTAAAATGTAAAACGTAAGGGCAATAGGAAAATTCCTACATAAAACTCGGTGAATACTGAAGACTCACATCTTGGTCCATTTGTAGATTGACATCATCTAGAGTCTTATCCATGTCATTCATCAAGGCATGCTTCCGATGGCCATAATAATCCCAGATGCGCACCTACAACATACGTATCTATTTTTTACTTCATGCCGAATAAAACTGAAACACTGTTTCAAAAATTAGGGTATGTGTTAGGATATTGGTTTGGGCCTTAGTCCAAACCAAATAAATAGGAGTTGGCTCAATTAGTATTCCCCATATAAATAGAAGTGTATGGGGCAGTAGTTAGGTATGATATTATTTTCTGTTTTTCCTATTAGGGTTTGGGCAGAGAGAGGATCTTCTCTGAGGAGCATTTGCTCTGGGATTATAGGGATCAATCTCTAATAGTTTTTAATTCAATTAATATCACATTTTTCATTTATCTTAATTTTTGATCCCTATCAATTGGTCCGACCTTCGGGATAATCATAATCAAAGAGGTGTCAGTGTTCGTGTCATTCAGGATGATTGAGGAAGAAGAAATGTTAGAAGGAGTGGCTGAGAGAATTGACGCAATTGAAGCGAGAATGGGAAGATTGGAGGAATTTGTAAAACCCTTTAAGTCGGAGTTTCGTCAATTGCTTAATACAGAAATGGTGAAGCATTTGGTGCATATTCCCACAAAGAATTTCAAGTCGGATTTGGACGTGCTGCCGGTAACAAACGCAATGAAGAAGCACACAGTTAGCTTAGATAAAGAAAAAGGTCACAAGTTAGATGTTCAGGTCTCCCATGGCGATGTCAGTAAAGAAGTGTCAATGGTGGTTTTCGATTGTGGCATAAAAGGAAGAACATTGGAGAAGATGACGGAGAAATCAATGACAGCGCCACTGATTGATTCAAAGAAGTTTGTAGAAGCAGCAAGGACGAAGGGACGAGGAGTAAAAAAGCATATGAGTTGGTTGATGTCACCACAACCACCACCAGAACCGTCGGATTCAGTTCAACCTTCAACAGTGCTTCCACGGTGAGGACCGCCGCCTAAGCCAGCAGATCTTAAGGATTTCGTGAAAGGAGACGAGAAAACGAGAGTGCTGAAGGATATGAAGCGTCAACGGAGCATACGACGGCGACTGCCGAAACCACCGTGTGCAAGTTCCAATTCCTTTTTAGTTTGTATCGCTGTTGTTGAACGGAAGAAGGGTCTAAAGATATTAAGGGCAATAATGGTAATTTGTGAATTGAAGATCATTCTTGAAAAGTTAAGGGTAAAATGGGCAATAGAGGAGAATGATATCTCTCTAACCCTAATAGGTCAAATCCAAGTTTATACGGGTTTGTTTTTTAAAGCATTTATGGATTGGGCTAAAATAGAGCTCTTTGGCCTAGCTCCTCAATTCTTTTTCTTAATTTGGTTACCTTTATATCCTTTTCTCTCCTTGGTAAATTGGGAAGCAAGGATTGCACTCAACACTGTTGTATTGCTATTTGACAAATTTTGAATGGCTTATCATGGAAATATTTTTAAATGAAGATACAGTACATGGTTATGGCTCGGTAATATTACTAGAAATAGTAGAAGACACGGTCCCTGGTGAGCTTTTTATTTTCTTAGCTGGAGTTACAATTGATTATTCTCAAGCTTATATGGGTTTTAAGGAGAAAAGTTGTAGGCTGTTATCTAGAGATAGTGAGAATAAAGAGGTGCAGCAAGTGCGATTGTTTGAAGCCGACTCATCAAGTTCTCAACAACGGGATCCCGGAAGACATAAAAGCTACCGTCGTGTCGGTGTTGTGTTTCAAGAAAATGAACTTCAAGTATGGTTTTGTGGGTTGCGGAAGTGCAGATTTGGTCTTGTTTTAGACCCACCATTACCTTGCAATGGAAGGGTTTGGCATGTCATTGTTATATGTTTAAGGACATTTTCTCATTTCAACCTTGAGGACAAGGTTGTATTTCTGGTTGCCGGTAATGTTAGGATATTAGTTTGGGCCTTAGTCAAAACTAAATAAATAGGAGTTGGCTCAATTAGTATTCCCCATATAAATAGGAGTGTATGGGGCAGTAGTTAGGTATGATATTATTTTCTGTTTTTCCTATTAGGGTTTGGGCATAGAGAGAATCTTCTCTGAGGAGCATTTGCTGTGGGATTATAGGGATCAATCTCTGTAATAGTTATTAATTCAATTAATATTACATTTTTCATTTATCTTAATTTTCGATCCCTATCAGTATGTATATAATTTGTGTTTTCAGTTTGATTTGTAATTGTAAAAATGTCGCCTTAAGTTCACTTTGTTCACCATATCCATAGTTTTGCATAGGAAACACTAAAAACAATTGGTTGTTACTTTTCAATGTTTAACGCATAAATCTTTGGAATCAGAAAACAAAATGAAAACAATGTGACATGTTTGTAATAAAAAAAATGGAAATAGAAAACAGAGAATAGAAACAGAAACCAAACAAACCCTTAGAATTTTGAGAAGGAATGAGAAGTCATTACCTGGTCCAACTGAAGATCGAATATTTCACAAGTGTTTTTGTGTAGCTGTCCAATAGTTTCCTGCCCAAAATATCTCAATTCTAAGGTAAATATAGCATGATCAAGATGAATAACACTTGCAAAGGAATGGCAACGAATCTTAAAGATGTATTTATCACAACTCATTAATATCTCTAATATTATACCTTCTTGCTTATTCTTATAGTGGACCGAACATTTTTTGGCAACATGAGTAATTGAAGGCGTAAAGGATACACCTCTACTGCAAATTCAGTCTGGGAAAGACCTGAACTAATAACTTTCCTCGCTAATGATGGTCCACCACCATACCTAGTTGAGAATGAAAGGAAAAAAAGTCAAGCAGCTAATATTAAAGAACAGTTACAGGTTTAGTTGAATAAAATTTTGTAGCAGATGATATATTTCTCAATAAAACTGAGAAAATCAATAAACCAAAAGGAAAACCAAAAAATATATGTGAAAAGCAGACAAACTCACCATTTAAATAATTGGTCCCAAACCACTTGGGGAAGTAATACATAGTCACGCCCTTCTAAGAGTGTATCGTGAATTTGAATACCCGTACTAGAGTCCTCTGATCCAGTATTATCTATCAAATCATAATTATCAATACCAGCTGGCCTCTTTAAAGCATTTAAACTAGCCAAATCGCTATGTTCATGAAAGGAAGATCCATCATAAGAAGGGTTTGTCTGGTCTTGGTTCACATATTCAATCCAATGTTGCCACCATCTGCATCGAAACAAAGAAAAAAGTTCATTCTTATCCTGTGTGATACCATTCAAAATAGACCAGGGAATTAGTCTATAGTCACCAAAACAACAATTGGAGAAAGTGTCTCTGCATCGTATTTCAAGATGTAGTATGGTTTTTGTTGATGATAAAAAAAATGTTTCTCTTTGGACATTTCGTCAACAGTATCAAGCAAGGGGCAATATTTTTATGCACGGGTTTTTTTTCCTGTTTATAGGCAAATCTACTCTTGAAACTGAAGTTCAAATTTAATTGATTTTACACAGTCAAGAAGCTCCTTTCATTTGGAATAATTTGTTTGTCACGAAGTATGCTAATACTTTTGAGGATGCTGCTTAGGTTCTGAGCAAGTGGTACAAGAATTGAAAATAAATTGGCGATATGGTGAGATGATAAAGGCCCCCTCTGCAGTGTTGAAAACAAGAATTAAAGGTGAACCAGAAGAAAGATTATGGTGGTGTTTGCATTGAATAGGATATAGTGTTAGTGCTGGGATATGGTGGAGGGATTTCAACAGCAGTGAAAGGAGGTGGAGCTGGTGCAAGAGTATCACAAAATTTGATTGAGTTTTGCGAATGCAGCACATATGAATTAGACAAAAATATGGCGGAGGCATAAATAGCAGTAAAGTACTAGTTGTAGGTGGATCAGGAAGCAAGGATAAGGGTGCATACACATGCAAAGCATTAATAGTGGAATTGACAAACTATATAGTATCAGCGGCATTCACTGCAGGTGCTGGTCACAAGATGGAATGATGACAGAAGCTGCTACAAAATTTTGATTCTCATGACAGCTTAACTTGAAGTTGCAAGAGATTTCTCTTCACTGATTTCATGTGGCAGCAGTTTGGATTTTTGGTGATGTGATAAACTATTTCAATAGATTGACTATTTACTCTGGTTCATGCTCATAGTAGCTTCTGTATTTTGTTTGTACTGCAGCAACTCAGCATTTCATGCAATGCAATTATAATAGGATTAGGATCAAGGGGCACTCTCTACTGTAAGAGGAGTAAGTGTAGAGTTATAACTGAAAATCTTAGGGATATGGGGTGGAAGCTATGTTACTGTCAGAAGGAGCTACCCGTGCTTCTTTACATATTATATTTATGTTGAACTTTGATAATGGTTGTAGATTTTGGGGTACTAAAAGTGGGTGGGATGGTATTAGGTGGATGTGAATGGTCATTAGATATGGTGTTGTTGCCGCTGTAACTATGTAGAACATTATGTTGTAAAATCCCTATCCTAATCTTAGCATATCGCGTGCTGTGATTAGTGTGTTATAAATATATTTTGCTTTTTCAAAAAGAAAAACTGGAGCAGCTTCCCGTTATTGGGTGTATAGGTTCCATTAGAATACATAATTAGCTACACATAGGTTTCATAGTAAAAGGGCTCAGACATGAGACAACACAGTAACACAATGACTGCCTAGCTTTCTAACAAAAACAACCGAACCGCAAGCTAGATCTTTGTTAGGAAAGAACTGCAACAATTTCTCCTGTGTAAAATAATATTGGATGAAATGAAAGTTGATAAGAACCCATCAAAGACACACCCAAAATCATTCCTCTCAAAACAAGGGTTTGATTGTCATGTGCATCCATAATGAAGGCATAACAATAAACTATTTGATCAAACCAGTTTAAGAATATTGCAAATTAACCTATAACTATCCCATATCTCCCCAACAATTAACCACCACAAGAACAACAACAACAACAATCCGGCCTTTTCCCATTATTGAGTGGATTCGGCTCCATGGATCAAAGTGCACCATAATGTTCTATCAAAAATCATGTATCTATCCAACTGATTAATCCCGGGATCTTTCTTAATAGGTTATCTTATAGTTTTTCTAGGTCTTTTTTTTACCTGTAGCAGTTTGACTACTATGCATCTGATCTACTCTCGCATGTTTGCTCTCTAGATGTTCAAACCACTTAAGTCTAGTTTCCACCAGGTGCTACCCCAACACTTTATCTAATATTATCGTTTCTGGCCACAAATGAGCATACAAACAAAGCAAAAATCAAATTTTGAGACAAAAACATAAAACTCACCAAATTCTGGCCACAACCCATTTTTCCAAGGAATGAAACATTGATGTAATATAATTCACAAAACAAAAAAGGCTTAAACTTTGGGTCTAATTTGGGTACCCAATTGAAAAAGAAAAAAAAAACGAGAAAAGGAAAAACCTCTGAGTGATGATGAAGAAGGTGTCGCCTTCTTTGATATTAGTTTGAACAGAAAGTGCAATGTCTCTGATGATGATCCTCTCTTCATCTGGGCTCAGCTCACAACTACTGCTGCAACACATCGACACCTCTGTCATCTTCCTCTCTCAACTCAACCCAATTTTCCCTTTTATAATGAAAAATAAACTAAGGTTTTGTGTATGAAGAAATCGATTTTCAGAGGAAAAAGAGAAAAAGGAAGAAGAAATTTCGAAATCCAGAAGTGCAGTTCCCTCTATTCAACGGAGGGTGCACACGAGTTTTGAGCAGGTTCGTGGAGGTGGGTAAATTGGGGATTTTACCTAGGTGGGGATTAACTATTTGCTTCTTCACTTTGACTTTTTTGGGATACAATATTGCATTACCTTAATTTGTTTCGGACATTCACCCTAATTCATTAAATTATGCTCTTCTTTTTTCACTTTTAATTTAATACTAATAACAAACTCGTGCTATCGCACGGGTCTCGTCTGGATTCACATTACATTTATAGATTATTAAATTATTAAGTATGTTACCATATTTTCAGTTGAGTATATGTTTCATGTAAACCATGTTGGCATTTAACTCCATATTTATAGCAAGCATCGGTCCTATCAACAAATCACGTCTGCATGAACAAATAGGAAAAATTATATACTTCTTGAAATATATGGAAAATGTACATACTATATATTTTAATTCAAAATAGATTTTTAATTTCAATCGTAAAGTATAAGATATAAAGTTTACCAACTATCAAAGTGCTTGAAAGACTTCCTTGTACACAACATTAGTAGTAGTAGAACACGGTACATTCTCCTTGTCATGAATTAGGATTTTTAGCCCACTTTTGCTCTTAACTCTTGAAATTGCAACATATAATTGACCATGACTAAACACAGGAGTAGGCAAATACAATCCAACACTATCAAGAGATTGACCTTGTGACTTATTAATTGTCATTGCATAGGAGACAATAATCGGAAATTATCTCCTAATCAACTTGAATGGCCAAGGTGAATCAGAAGGTGACATAGACATTCGTGGAATGTAAAAAATGTTACATATGTTAATCCATTTTTTCAAATTAAAAATGTATGACATCTCCCGTCAAATTTCAATTTTAAAACTTTTATATTATATCATATTTACATATTTTTTTACAACCTATAATGTATAACAGTTTCCCGTTAAATTACAATTATTTTTAAAAAGAACATAAAAAATAAATAAAATTTATAGATAAAACTATTGTATATTATTTTCTATATTTATTTAATGAATGAAATTTATTTTAGATGAATTTATTTTCTAATTTGTATTTAAAAATATAACTTAATTGTCATTTAAAACAGTACATTCAATTCTTTAACTTCAATTATCTGGTATGTCATAGATACATTTATTCTACCCGTGAATTTATTTCATGTACTCAGTTGGTTAATATTAATATAATTACAATATATATTCATTTATCAAATTTGAATTTCTCATTTATAAAAATAATTTTAAATTATTCTCGTTTATAAAAATAATTGTAAAAATAAATATTTACCATATCATCTTAAATTTATTTATTCAACAGTGATAAATATGTGTCTCTTAGTTAATTACATTTATAAATAAATATCGTGTATTAGTGATATATATTAAATTTATTATCTTAATGTCTAACTAATTAAAATGAATTTATTATTGTCAATCAAAAATTATAATATTAAATAATAATATAATATTATTATTATATACGAAAAAAGAATAAATTAAATCTAAGAATATCGGAAAATTTATTATAATATTAAATAATAATTTAACATTTATTATTACAATGAATCATATATAACATTTCAAAATTATGTATTTATTTCTTATGTTTTATTATATTCGATTTGTAATAAATATTTTTCAGTTTATTGCGAATTTTCAATAATTAAATAGTAATGATATTATATAAAATTAATTTCATGAAATAAATTTATTTAATAAAGTGTTATATAAATATTTAATACATTATATTATACCATTAATTTATATAAAATGATATTAACTTATTCCTGTTTATAAAATTATTGTAACTTTTTTCCGGTTTATAAGCATGTTGAATTCGTGTGTCCATTATTAAAATATATGTAATTTACTATTATTGATATAAATAATTTTATAAATAGTTTAATTTATTACATTTATAAAATTATTTGTAATTTATTCACCTTTATAAAATTAATTATAAATTATTTAATTTATTAAAATGATTGTATCAATAATTTTTTATTTTATCATAAATTTTTATGATTATCATTTATCATTAAATTTTCATGATTACCATTTAATATTTTTTTATCATGGTTACAATTATAAAGTTAATTTGAAAAGATTATGATATATTTTAGTTATTTCATAAACTTAAAAAAATTATCAAATCTCAATTGATTTTGTTTTGTTTTATTAACCTTTTTATAGAAATTGAAATAATTTATTTTAGGTCAAATAAGGATCTAAATAATTACAAAATAATATTTATTCTTACATTTATAGAATGATAAATTAAATATTTAAGATAAACATTAGAGTTCTTATTTACTTTATCTTTTATATATTTATAATATACTTTTTTTGTTAATTTTATTAACAATATATTTATAGTTAACAATACATCCTTTAAACTACGTTATTTTTTTCAAGAATATAAATGTAACCTTTCAAAAAATATACACAAATATATTTAGAAGTCGGTAGAAAATTTTATTGGTTAAATTATAATTCCATTCAAAATTTATTGATCATAAATTTTTGAAATCAAATCATGCATAAAAATAAAATGTATTAATGTGACCATTCAAAATATTTTCTATATATAATAAAAATAAATAATATTAATACCTCCATTCAAAAGATATATTTATAAAGTTTTGATTTAATTTTTTTCATATCTTTATATATTCTAATGTATATAATATTCCTACAATATGAAACAGTATCAAACCTATAATATTAAAAGGAATCAAATCATATATAAAAATTAAATATATTTATGTCACCATTCAAAATAATTTCCATATAAGTATAATAAAAATAAATGATAATAATGTCTCCATTCAAAAGATATATTGGTAAAGTATCGAATTAAATGGTACTCCAATATTTGATTAAAAAATTGTAATATTTGTTTTTAATATTGTATAAAAATATATTAATTAGTCGTACTTTAAAAAAATAAATCATAAATATTTTATTAAAAATTGTAATATTTGTTTCTAAAATTATAGCAATTAAAAATAATAAAAATTCAATACAAAATAAAAAATTTATTCAAATTTCACGACAAATGAGAATTATAATTTCTATTCAAAATAAATTAAAATTTTGAAGGCACATCAACACCAACTTGTAGGTTATTATCTTCTCTTTAGGAGAAGAGAAATTCTATTTAAAAAAGATTGTAAATATGTTAATTGAACGAAACTTAGAGTTGTGTGTTTGCTAGAGGCAATGCTACATTCAAAAGAACTTAGAATCTATCTATTATAAATATATAAAAAGCAAAGTACCATTAACTTACCATAATACCCTAATTAGTAAATTTCAATTTAGTCTTAATCTAAGGGTATATTTGTAACTTTCTGAAATACTTGCACCATATTGATTTGACAATAAATATGGCTCATGTGTCACACTATGGTTTTTTCTGCCACTTTTTACTTTTTTTTATTTAATTATTTCTAACTAACAACAATTATGCCATTTTGTTTATATTTACACGTTATAATCACACCTAATTATGTGCTACATACCACTTCCCAAAACCCTCATCCAAACCAAAGGTCATTCAATTTGAAATTTAAATTAAAACACTCATATTATAGCTGCTACGTACACTGGGTTTTAAAATTCTAATTATTCCACTAAACCCTAATCACGTTTTTTGTTGCAAGATTTAAATTGGCAGCACAAGATGAACAACCATCATAAATGTTGAGTTCTTGAAACGATAAATCTATACAACCAAAGAAATCGTTTTTTCCAAGATGCAACAAATAACTCATTCACCCAACTCTATTAAAACACAAATCAGAAAACTTAATTTCATCTTCTTACCTAATTTCATCTTCTTCCTGCGCCGCTCCATCTCTTTTCATTCTTCTCTCTTTGTTGCTACCAATTTCGTTTCGTTGTAATCTCAACCATCTAATATTCTCATCCTAACCTGTTAATTTATTTGTTTCAGACGTTCAAGCGTAAGAATGGTGGTCGCAACCAAGACCTCTGAATCTCAACAACATCAATAACCAACAACACCCGTTATAGATCTATAAAAGAATTTCTTTCAAATGCAATTTTTAACGTTAATTTGATTCATACATATGTAAGTGACGAAGGTGAGTGATTGAAACATGTGATTGAAAGTTGAAACTGAAATGTAGTTTGGAATATCATATTTTATGTTGTATTCTTTTCGTTTTCAGGGTTGTCTTACTATTTCTCCTTTTCCAAAAAAAAAAGCTTAACTTGACACCTAAAATGGGATATCTTTATCTTTAGGTTTGAGAGTTGCAGAAGGGGATTTTTGAGCTTGCATGTGACGAACAACACAACCATGATATTGTTTATTTTTTGCTGTTAGGTATGTTTTTTTATTCAGATTTTATTTCTCAATTTTTTTAATTTTTTTAATTAAAATATGAGGTTGAGTTTTGGCTTTTTTTATTTGTTTAGTCTTGGTGAATACAAAGCTCACACATATATATTTACGATTGATTCTCCAAATAGATAGAAGCTTATTTCTTTTGCTTCCTCTTTCAATTTATTATTAATCTATTTAAATTTCAATTTCTCCCATCACATCTTTGATAAAAGAAGGCAGTATATTCTCATCAATTTTGTTGTTTATTTTGTTTACTATTATATTTATTTGTATCTAATTGAGATTTTTGTATTTATTTTCTTGATTTAATCGGTTCTTCTTTTGGAATATGTATGGATATAGAGGCTGATAATTGATTTCATCAGTAGGGGACCAATCAACAAATTGAACGGATTGTGTCACAGTTTAATTTTTATACATTGATACGTAAAATGAAATTATGCTGATTGCGATTTGATTTTGTCATGTGAAAAC